TCTTTTTGAAACTAATGGACAAAGAGGTCTACAGAAGAGGTCTCCTCTCCCATTCAAGCACTCTGACTTTGTAATTAGAAGAAGAGAGCCACAGTAAAGAGCAACTGGAGCGTACTATGACTCATGTCCTCATTTATAAGGAGGAGTTTAGCTAGTTGTATAGTTGCAATTGGTACATTGCAGCGAGGAGAACATAACTATACTTTTATGCTATCATTTTATCCAATTACCTATACTGTATCACTGTTTGGGCCCAGCCTAACCAGTGAGCAATGAAAGGGTAGTCTCTCTTTATACACAACCTTTAAAAGTGTTGGACCCAAAGACCATGCAACGTAACTCCTCTAGAATTCAAGTAAACCACATTGCATCAAAGTTTTAAATGTTTTTAGTGAGAGTTCCTTGTTGGATTTTATTCCTATAGAAATTATGAAATGTCTGATTTCAATCAATTGGATAGTTAATAAAGTATTTCTGATTTCTTACAGGTTTCATCCTGGACTTCAGTTCAGCTTTCAACGCCATCATCCACAGCACAAACTGGAATAGCTGAGCTTCAATACACCCCTCTGCAATTGGCTGCTAGAGTTCCTCACTAACTGACCTCAGTCAGTCCGGGTCGGACAGAAACCTCTGATGTCATCATCCTAAGCACAGGCTCCCCTCAGGGCTGCGTCCTGAGCCCCCTGCTGTTCACCCTGATGACACATGACTGTGTCCCCAGGTTCAACTACAATCACATTGTGAAGTTTGCAGATGACACTACTGTGGTGGGCCCCCACCCATCCTCACCACCTTCTACAGAAGCAGTATAGAGAGTGTTCTGACCATCCGTCTCACTGTGTGGTGTGGATGCTGTTGCGTCTCAGACTGGAAAAAGGTGAGAAGAGTGGGAAGAACAGCCAAGAGGATCATCAGGGCTCCTCTTCCCTCCATTAAAGACATTTAATCCAAGCGCTGCGTGTCCTGAGTCCGTAACATCATAAATGACCCCTCACACCCCAACATGGACTGTTCTCCCTGCTGGCCTCTGGAAAGAGACTTCAAAGCATCCGATGCAGGTCCAGCAGATTCCGTAACAGTTTCTTCCCCACTGCCATTGGACTGCTAAATGTTATGTAAAATGGGTTAAAAACAAAAAAACAAAAAAAAAAACAAAAGAAAAACTGAAATGTTGGAACTGTAACTATACAGTCATATGTTTACATCATTTTTTTCATCTCAATGTTTTTATCACTGCTTTCTTATCTGCACTGCAAACATGAAATAGGCTAGGGAGCTCTACAGAACCAAATGTCTTTTTGTTTACACTTGTGTGTACAAAATGACAAAATAAAATCCCTCTAAGTCTAAGTCATAGTGCATCATCTAATTTGGGTTATAGAACCACCTTTTTTATAGAGAACAATGAATGGATCAAACAAAACATGATGTTGTTGGTTGACAAACCTGGTTTGTCACCTGGTTGGTCCACAAAACAACCTATGGAAGACTCAATTTGGTACACAAAGAAGTTAAGCACAAAAGAATCAAGAGTGCAAAATGGCAAAATAACCAGAAACCTTTTCTTTTTTCTTAGTAATTCTTTCAAGGCCTGTACTTAGGCCACCTGCTGGTGTGGTAGACCCAGGCAGCTGCTTAGTGTAATTTTGCCTTGGACTGGCTAGACATCTATGCATTGTGTTTCTCCAGCTTGTAGGAATAAGTAAAAAATATATATAAATTGTTTCATTGAGAGAAAAACTAAATATGATCAACTAAACAATGAAAGAATACACTGTCAAATCATTTGTTCACGGCTGCTGAACGAATCAAAGCTGGTGTAGCACCAAATTAGCTGAAAAACATATTAGGAATATCTGCCTCTTGACTGTTGCACTGAGAGAGGGATTTAGTCAAAGTGTAGTTCTGTGAATAGTTTTACCTATGACACCCCCACCCCACCCTGCTCCTCATTCCTCCCTCCATTTCTCCCTCTGTGTTTTTTGTGTCTGTCGGATGGGGGAAATGAGGTTAATTAAGAGAACTTTAATTATTACAATTATTACTGAATTACCCACAACTGGTACAGGAATAACCACAGAGATTTTGGCTCCATTTGTCATTCTGTTGTGACTGACTCTGTATGTGCTAACCTTTAGCTAACTAAAGATTTGTGACTGGCAGCCTCATGGAGAAAATATATAGCTTAAAAGAAAACTGTTCAAATGTAAAGTATTCCAGCAGTGCAGTTAGTCAACACTATAAATTACAAAATCATCTGTTTAGATTTCCTATCAGCTACACCATAAGAAATAAGACTCCAAGCAGGTTGGATTCAGAATCCTGAATAACATAATTGTTAAGTTTTCCATGTTTTTATTTTGGCTTTCTTTTTTGTTTACAACATTTTATTAAGTGTGTTAGAAAAGGTATTGCTTGCTTAAGCCATTTATGTGTTCAGTTTATCTAAGAGCTTTTGATATTAGCTCTTAATTCAGTGTTTTGTTTCTTAGTTTATGCTTAGGGTCTGTCTTTTCCTGGCATGATATTTTTGTTTTCTTAGATATCTGATATGTTTTGCAGTGTGGTTAAATAGCTTCTGTGTATCTTATTTTTTATGTTATTTAGTGTACCAGTAATATCTAATTAGGAGTACATTTCAGTCTCTCTGCACTACATGTACTTTAGCTACTTCACATTATTCAATGGTTTACTGACCTGCATTCCATGCTCTTCTCCACTTATCCTCGAGTATATCTGTTGTTGTTGTCCCTTGCGCTATATATAATGTAGGTTATTTACTTTATCTCCCTTCATGAATGAACAGTTGTCTTCTTGTGCATTACCATAGTGTTTTTTGTTTTATATTACTAATATTCTTCCACTCATTGCTCCTTCTAAGTTGTGGTCAGAACTTTGCTCAGTTCGAGTAAAACACTTATTCTGACAGTGGAAGATATGGTGGCGACAGGTGCAAACTCGCAGCAAACAATGATAATCTACCACGATGATGCACATATAGATTTTGCTTTGTTGTTTAGTGTTTTTAGTGTTGAATGTGCATGCATCATACATGTGTCTGCAGATCGTTTTGCCGTTTGCTGCATGTTTGCACCTGTTGGCCACCATAGACAGCCTCAGAAAAAAATTGGGGAACTTGGAAGATTAAGACAGATAATTTAGAAAGTGTTGGTCAAGAATTCCTTTTTTTGGGGGAAATGTTGAAGGAGAAGAGCAACTGCTGTGCAAAATGAGGCTAAACAAAAGTACTGACAGTAGGGCCGACCCTAAATGAAGCACTGTTAAATGTATTACACATGTAATACAGAGCTGCCCCAAGTCACAATTGAACTGTATGAACCCAGATCATAGATCTAAAATTATTACTCAACATTAATGGAATAAATAAACTGAAATTGTTTTTAATATTCAAGATTTATATATATATAAAACAAAGGAACTGGTGAGCTTACATTATTAATAACAAAGAGTTACAGTTTGATGCCACAAGAGAAATATTTTCTTTGTGTTTAAGCTTGGTTTGTTTATAAATACACATTAGGGAACAATAACCAGTACCTTTAATTGTTTTGAAGCTGAGCCAAATAAACTTGGTGCTCTCTCCCAGATTCCAACAAATCTTTCTGGCTTTTATCAGTGGTCCTGAAAAACGGTCCCAAATCAATGTACGTATTTTGTCTATTACATGTTCTTGATTTTAACTGAGGGTTTGTATTGCATTTTTGGAATAACAGGACCAAAGAAAGATAGAAGGCAATTTCAAACCAAATGTGAGCAAGCTGGAGGATTAACATCTGATGTTCACCATATTGAAAGCCTGCTAATCATGGTTAGTGTTTGTTCTGTTGACAGCATCCATAAAGTTTGTTTTGATGCCAAACAAGCAGCAAACCGGTAGGCATCTCGAGGAAGTGTAGCAGAAGGGCACATTGTGTGTTTGATGTGAGCGAGGGGGAGGTGTGAAAACAAGATATGGCAAAACCCATCTGCCAAACACCTTTTTCTACTGGCCGACTTGCAGGCTTTAAGCTGAAGCGAACATGACTCAATCTTTATCTGGAATGCCAGCAGCTGAATTACTATACATCTCAAAGAGAATATGTGTGTGAGTGTGTGGGTGTGATTGTGCGGTTTGGGGGCGGCGGTGTGTGTGGTCCTGCGCAGTAAACTGTACAGATGGATGACTCATCCACCAATCATGTGACTCATCAATCACTGCAGTTACCATTTCCCCTTCGTCCTCCCCTCCTTATTTCTACCATACTTTTTTCTTCCTTTCTCATCTCCATTCATGTGAATTTCTTTTTCTTTTGTGAATATAACAAACTCTTTTTAAAAGATTTTGCTTTGTCTCCATACTGACACTGCTTTGACATGAGTCGTGCTGTTGTTAAGCTTCAGCTGATTGTGATCTTCTTTTTGTCCTATTTAGCTTGTTTTTTTTTGTGTTTTTTTCTTGTTGCTGAATTCAGACAATACAGCACTCTCCAAAAAGCCATTAAAAAACTGAACTTTAATAAAATAATTGCTTTTATTTTTTTATCATATAGCAAAACTAGTAATCATCATGCTGTTATTTACACATTGCACGGGCAAATTTATTTCACACTGTACATCTTACAATGCTAAAGGTGACATCAACAACAACACTCTCCTTTTACAAGACAGATGGCTTCACTGTGCACACAGTGGCCCTCTTTCCTTTGATTTTTCTTTTTTTTTTTTAGGTTCACAGTTTATTTAGAGAAAACAACCATTTTGAACTCTCCATACTGTTTTTTTTTTCCTCTTTTTTTGTTCATTTTTTTTGTTCATTTTTTAAGATGCAAGTAGAAAGACGTGCATTTAACGGCTTACGCACAATCCCTGACTCCCTGGACTGAAGCTTTTCGATGAATATCTCCTGAAAAATCAACAAAATATTTGTAGCCTCTTGGTGGAAACATCCGCAATTAAAGGCTGCAAAACACATAGTGTGATTTCAAGTATTTTTTTTAAAGAAAAGGAAATCCAGGGATGTTGTAGAAACAAAAATTTACACAAGAAGTAAAAGGGCTTCTGATGACAACAATAAGTTAAGGCATACATAAAACTACCATATGTGTGTTGAAAAAATAAAACTAGATCCCAGAACAGTTAAAAACCCCTGGTCCACCATGTTGGAAGTGTTTACTCTTTAAGTTTGTGCTTTTGGAGTCCACAGGGTTTCTACATCAGGATCATATGTGAATTATTTCATAAGCAATGTGAAATATCCCTTATAGAACCATGGCATTGGTAAGGCAAATAATCTCAATCTTGAAATCAAACTTAAATATGTATAGCTGATTAAAGTTAATCCAATCTGGCATAAGAAAGGCATTTAAACACATCAAATACAACAAAAATATACTTTCATTTTCATGTTTGTTTAAGTTGTTGATCTGTTTTTCCTTTGTAATGTGACAAAAAGATACAAAAAGAAGATACCAAGAGATGCTGTAAACATATTTTTTAAAGTGTGCATGTAAATGTGTCATGGATGCATGTGTATGCATGCCTCTGTATGTGTGTGTGTGTCTGTCAGAGTGTTAATCTTTGTGAATGTGCGCTCTATAATTCTCTGAAATATACAAGAAAACATCAGAGATTGACCTGAATGGAGGCAGACATACACTGCAGTATGTTCTGTTTTTTTTTTAAAATGTAAACCCATCAAGAGGCTGAAATGGTCACAGGGAGATGAATTTCTTTATCTTCTCCCCGACTGAAAACTGAATAAACTTAAAGTGAAGAACAACAGAAATCAAATTTTTTAACTTTCCAACCATTGAAAATGACCACAGGCTCCAAATGTAACTCCTCTCAGTCCTTCGTATTATACTTTGCTAATTTTCTTCAAACTTGGCCCTCCTTCAGTCCCTCTGATCTGACAGTGTCCAAAAGAGTCTCTCAATACATTCTGCGCTTCATGTAGATCCTCTCGATAAAGTTCTCCAGCTCCTCCTCACTGTCCAGCTGAGGCACCAGCCCATCTTCCTCATAGTCATCTACTTGGGTGACCTGTGGGTAGTAGTAAGGTGGTCTCCTCCCCCTTCTGGGGGCAATCACTGGTTTGGGGGGAGGCAGAGGCTGGTAGGTCCGTGGGTGAGGAAGGATATAGTTAGAGATATAAGGAGTGAGAGGCAGGCGTGGTGGTGGCTGCTGCCTCCAGCCCTGTCCCGCCAAGTTCTTACCGCCACCCCTGTGCCTGCGCCTTGGGGGCTGGAGATCGAGTTCTTGGGGGCCAAAAGACTGGTCTCGGGAAGGGGATGACTTGCCATAGTACTGTGCTTTAGGATATGGGAAGTAAACTGGGTAGTAGGCTCGATATGGCTTTTGGTAGTAGGGATAGGATGGGAAGGCTAAAAACTGTTTCTGAGGTTTATACCAGTAGTCAAGCTGCTTCTGTGGCTTATACCAATAGTCCTGCTTGTATGACTTGATTTTGTCTTTGTGCCATTTCTTGTTGGATTTATTGTGCTTATAAGGAGCTTTCTTGGGATTTTTTGAAGCTGTGTAGTGGTAAATGGGTGGGGTGGCAAGAGGAGGCGGCACCAGAGGCCTAAAGCGAGGAATGACTGGATTACTGTTGATTGGCTGCTGCTGCAACTCTTTCCTTTTCTTCTTTTTCTCCTCCACATCGCTTATGATCTCAATCACGTCGTCGGCAGGGAGGTGGAGCTTGCTGCTGATTTCAATCAGCCTATCAATCATTTGCTGGTCCAGGTCGTCTTCGTCGGGTAGGACCTCTTCTGACCTCTTGTCCTCGGCGGTGTTGCTGCTCTTCTGTCGTGGCTTCATGAAGGACTGCTGCTTCCTGCCCATGTACTGCAGTAGCATGTCGGAGGCGATGTCAGCGAGCCTCTGCTCTTCCTCCCTAGCTTTCTCCGCCTCCTCCTGCTGCCGGAGAATCTCCTGCTTCTCTGCACGCGCCCTCGCTTCTTCTTCCATGTGGGAGAGGCTCTCCTCCTCCTCCTCTACCTCCTCCTCTATTTCTTCGCCTCCCTCATCAAAGTCGTCCATGAAATTCCCCCCCTTTACAGGTCTATTGCTAGACATGTTGTCCTGCCAGTGCTGCTTCTTCCCAGCTCGAGCGAGCTGAGTGTTGTATGCCTTGTAGCCCTTCAAAGGAGGCAGGATCTCATTGTCTTGCAGACCCAAGTCTATGTTTTGGAAGTAGCCTCGGATTTTGCGCTCCAATGAGGGATCATCCACGTCTGAGGTGGATGCAGATTTGACTTTGTCTATGAGTTCATCTAAATTATTTCCCTCTTCTTGTTCCTCTTCTTCATTTTTTCGTTCTTCCTTAGTTGCACTTTGCTCCTCCTCCTTTTCTTTCATCTCATCTGCCTGAACAACTGCCAAATGGCCTAAAATTACCTTTTCAATTGCCTTATCAGCCTCCCCCTTATCATTGTCGTCTTCCTTCCCCCTCTCCCCTTCTGTCTGCTCTGTTTCTCTTATCTCACCACCCTGCACAGATTCAGCAGAGGGCAGCTTCCGACCCTTATCCTCCTTCCAGTCTCTGTTTCTGCTGGTAAGGATTTTGCCATCCCCTGGGTGGTCCAGAGACTCCAAAAGAACAGCAAGCACCTGCTCGGGGTCACTGGCTTTATCTAAATATTTATCTTGACCAGGACCACGGCCTTGATCTTGCAATCCTTCAAATGGGTCAGGCAAAATCTGGGGCTGGGGGGCTGAGAGGATGGGGCCCGAACTGTCCTCTTTGTGGTCTGTCCGTGTGCGCCCCTGCACCCCTCCCTCCCCTTTCTCGTCCCACACTGGGGCAGAGCTGGCTAGGCGTGGAGTGACAGTGAGCAGGACCAATAGGATAAGGCGAGCTGTGAAAGGGGAATTTTGACAGGTCATGACCATGCAGGACAGTCAGGAGGGAGGTGAAGCACCTGAAAGAAAGGGAAGAAGAAGCAGAAGAAGAAGAAGAAGAGAAAAACACATGAGAACCTCTTCGCATGGAGACTGATGTAGGAATTTCAATGGATATGGGATCATCAAAATAACAGGATCACTTCTCTTTTTTAATTAAATGCATGGAAATCTCTAATAATTTGCATTTCTTTCATTTGTAGACGGATATTAAATCCTATAATGTGCATTTGTTCTATAACAAAAAACGATCAGTCTTAGTCTTACATTTTTATATACATTTTAGAATAAACATAAATTATCTATGAAAGCAGAATTTATTTTACAGAAAAAAATGTTTTAGTTTCAATAATACGCTTTTAACAGCTAAATTTTTAACCCTTTAACTAAATGATTCCTTATATAGAGGATTGGAACTTTTTTATTTGAATTAGAGCGTATTTTATACAGGAAATAAGTGATCCACATGAGTAGTTTGGCCTTTTTTTTCCGTCGCTTGCCTAATCGTCACCTTAAGCAGATGCTGATTAAGATATTTAAAAGGAATCTTTCTCCTTCGTATAATGCCGGGCGAGATTTAAGGGAGCATAGCTCTCCAGTAGTAATCATTTACAGGACAATAAACAACTCGTGTTTAAGGAAAAAGAAAATTCTCACCCTTTTTTCCAAGTCAACACGACCATGATGCAGGTACATCCCATTTTAACAAACTCTGTCTTTAAAATACAGTCGGAGAAAACAAACTCTTTTCCTCGTTATTTTGGCTTTTTTTCCCCGTGCGTCAAAGCGATTTGGCACGACTATGGGTTTAAAGATGGCAAGCGCAGGCAAGTCACGCGTAAAACCTTTTGGAAACGTTGGGCGGCGTTTAACGCTCCGGTCTCCTCACGTTCGGTGCAAATAAAGCTGGATTTGTAAAAAATAAATAAATAAATAAAAAGATTTTCTTTCCATTATTCACAGAAAATGAATCGGCCAGTAGAGATAAGTGGCTTTTGTCCTTTGTATGATACATCTCTCCAGAGGCGGCAGCCGTGACGGCGGAATGCAGACGAGCGCAAAAATGTCGGGGCGAGGGTGCCCGAATCTAAATTTGCATCCCTTCTTATCTAGTAAAACGAACAGAAACGAAACAATCTATGTTGGCTTAATCAAATGGTCCAACATAAATGCTTAAATCACTTAATTTAGAAATTATTAGCCATTTATTTTTAATTGTTTAAAAATGGTTTTATAATAAAAGTGCAAGCATTTTTGTTTGTTTTGTTCTTTTTTTTTTTTTTTTTTTGTCGCGTCAAACATTTTCAAAATTTCAAAGCAACAGAAATCTGCTGTATAAATGTATTTCCCGAACACAATTGCAGACACAAAGCGGTTAAATGCTCCACTGCCTTCTCGGAACAAAAAAACATTCCTAAAATGTTTCCTTTTTTAATTTTTTTATTGTGTATTCAGTTTGTACTTTTTAAACCTCAAAATAAAGAAAGACATAAAACATCGTTTTTCCTACAAAACGTGGTATTGTTAACAATTAGAACTACGTTTCAAGCATGAAAAAATACACGTTTTAAACGGCTTAAATTTATGAACCAAAAGGTTTTTAAATATTTTAAGATTTTATTATCTTCCCAGTTAAACAAGGTTCATTACCCGTGTCTCAAAAAAATATTTACCAGTAAAACTGCAATTTTCTATGAAGTTATGAATCATGCACCAAATGGAAAGCCTCAATCCTAATTTTATTTTTCTCAAATTCTTGAAATTGTTTCTGCGGGGGAAAAAAAGGGTAAAAAAAAAAAAAAAACCCAGCCCTGTTCTGTTTGGTCAGAATGCCTAGCTTTGGAAAAAAGATGAGAGTTTGCTCCACTTACCTGGAGTCCCACAGGGGGGCTGGGGAAGCGGTGAAACTCGCAAAGCCAAAACAAGCCAAGATTATTATCATGAATAGAGGACCGCCTGAAAGAACTTCAGTTTCCCCTCCTTCTCTGTTCAGCTTGCGACAAACATCAATAAAAAACAAATCTTAATCAGGGATTCTTTGTTTAGTTTTGAAGGTTTGTTTATACCGCAGCGGCACTGGTGCTGGTGTGCATTTGGGTGAATGTTTTCAGCACCACGGTCAGCGCAACTTTATCGTATATAACCCTTCGCTGGACCACGTGACACCCCCCATGCAACCCCCACCCCCATCTGCAGGCGCTTCTGACGTCACCCCCATTGATAAGAATGTTGGTGGGGAGATAGCAGTGTGAGTCTAGGCTGGCCCGAGCTGATGAATGAACGGAAATGGCATGAATGAAATAGTACTTTCCTGAATGAAAAAGGAAAAAAATGTTGTGATGGAGCTGCTGAAGGGCTGGTTTTCTTTCTTGCACGCTTGAAGATTAGCGTGTTGCATCTTGCGTGGATTGATTAAGTTCTAGGAGATGGGAAATATAAAAACACAGAGGGGTTCACTTGGTTCACAGAGTAGAATTCAGGGTCATTTCGTGAGATAGTCTTGCATCGGTCAGCTTCAAACACAGGAGTGGTGCAGACTCATTTCTCTTCTATTCTTTGTCGGTGGTGGCCCATTTCTCTTTGGTTGTCATGCCCCCCCTGCCTGGCTGTGGGAGCTCTTTATGTATGAATTTTATGCAATACTCAGAATTATATTAGCACTTCACTTAGACAATAAAAAATCATCAGTTCTGTAGTACCATATGCTATTGCTCATGTGTTTGTTTTGACTGCTCTCATAATTTTCAGAGAGGTTTCAAAATCTAAATTTAAGTGCATACAAAAAAAAAATCACATTTTTATCTATCCTGTTAGATTTAGTGAGGGATTAAATTTTTTTTTATTTTTGTTCATTCATCCAGCATTATGATTATGATTATTTTTTTGATGTGAAGTGAAAGAAAAATTATGTAGACCTATTTGTGTGATCAGCTGCATACAAAGATCAAAGAGTAGTCTGCTTTCCAAATATATATATTGAGGAAAATCAGTATTTGTACAAGTTGCAATTTTTGCAAGTCTCCCACTTGCAAATTATGCAATAGTCTGACATGTACATTTTAGGTGAATGTTCAATGTGAGAGATATATTTGTACTGTCTCATGTGCAGAAAAACACCCCCAAAGCATGTTGCTTCCAACCCCATGCCTCATAGTTGGGGTGGTGTTTTTGGGATGGTACTCTTGTTCCGGCAAGCACAGCAAGTGGAATTAATGCCAAATGGTCGTGGGCAAACCATAACATCTTAGTGCATTACACACAGTAACCATGGAAACGGTGGTGCCAGCTCTCTTCAGGTCATTTAACAGCTCCTTCCATGCAGTTTTGGGCTGATTCCCTTAGTTGAAACAAAATTTTTGTAGGATCCCGCATAGAACCTCAGTCTAAGGGGGGGAATGACATGTCCTGCTTTTCCATATTTTTGTGTGTGTGTGTGTATATATATATATATATATATA